GGCCACCAGCGATGAGGAACCCTCCGATAAAACCGGTAAAACCGGACTGCAGGTTCTCTGCACCTCAGCGGCCGCATGTCGCGTGTTACGTGCGAGTTCAACACCGGACAAACCAGCTGCAAAGGCATCGGATGCTCCAAACCCAAAGCCCAGGGACCCTCCTGCATCAGGTCCGAGCTCTCCAGGGCACGGCTATCCACGATTTGCAGATTCGATTTGAACAGCTTCCTGAGAGAAACAGTGTGACTCATACGCGTACAGTACTGCATACAGTTATGTCTGAATGGCCAACACTCGTCGTAAAGACTTCACACCTGCACCATGCTCGCTGCTTCCTGTCAGAACGCCGTTAGGCTAAGCCTCGTCTCCCCGGAAAAGAAACTGCCGGAGCCCACGGCCGTGGCGCCTTCAACCTGTGCGGAAGCACAACGTCGCATAAACCCTCTGGCTCAAGACCGCCCCACCCGCACCCAAATGCAAAGTTCATCTCCGAGCGGCCGTGAGGTTGGATGTTTCAAGCATCGTTTTGGCAGCAACATAGAAAGCACCAAATACTCTTCCGGCACTGACGTTCCGGATGCTCAGTGAGGAGTCCTGCAAGTAGTCTGCATGAAGCTGCGAGACTGGGAGCACTGATGTACGGTGATGTACGGCGATGTGCGGTGGCCGTATTGAAGGGGTGACTCGAAATATCACTACGTCAGGACAACTAAATTGATCGGACAAACCTGCCAACAAAAGACAAACCAGCCATGACATAAACTGTCCGTGTGGGCTGCATGACCTTATGACCTGCATCATCAGACTTGTCTGGCCTCCTGATCAAGAGCTCCTGGCACCGACGAAGTGCGTGCACAGACTTCAGGCGATGGCTACTGGCAACCCTGCCGACTGCATAGCTGTGGCGGGGGAGGGAAGTACGCAGTAACAGTACAACCAGAATGGCGGAGCAATAGGAGCACGTAGGCCTACATGGACTGGGCAGAGGGGCGCATGCCATTTGAGGTTCAGGCGAGGTTTGCGCAGAGCACGGACGGACAACGGCCCGTCAAAGACCCGCCGGAGTGCAATCGCAGCATCGGAGGGAAATTACGCAACAAGCGAAGTATTTTCAGGCTGCGGTCACTGAGGACAAGGTGTGATTCCTTGAAACTTGGCTGAGGGAACATGGTCAAAACCAGCAAGACATTCAAAGTCTGAAAGTGCCTGGGGTGATATCGAAACTCCTTTCATACTAACTGTCGCTCTACACATCACTAGCCAAAAAAGTGTTTCAAGTTTGGCAAGCTACTGGCTTCGCAACAGCTGTGTCTCACCTTCGTATACATGTAGCCAGCGACCAACCACTGAACATCTTACTTTGGCCGCATGAGCAGTTGCCTACTCCGAGATGAGACGCTCAAAGAACCTCAGTCGGCCATAGTGAAATCCGTACTAGTACGCCCAAGGCATGAAGAAAACATGAGAAACCAAGATGTCGCAAGTGCTACGGCAGTAGTCCCAATGAAAGCTGACAAGAGCCTTGCCGTCCTGGAGCCACAGGTCCCCATTAGTGTAGAAGCCACCAGCGTCGCGGCCCGCAGCGCTGTCCAAAACTCGTAGGGACGCTCCATGCTTCAGCTGCAGCCCGAGCTCTGCGAAGAAGCCCCCAACATCCACCGTGGCACGAGTGCCGCGCAGCCAAATGGAAGACCTGTCCTGCGCCAATAGACTCTGATCTACACCAATCGAACGCTCGTTTTGAAACTGTCCGACAGATATATTGCCCTGTACTAGTCCCTCTATGAGCTATAATCGGTATAATAAGCCCCCTGCATAATCCCCGTTTGAGGAGTTCAGACTATAGCTCCTATGATTCCCAGCAACACTCTTTATATTTCATTCCTTCGTCCGCGCTAACCACGAGAACTCAAACACTCAACCTTAAGCCTTGCAAACCCTGGGTTTAGGCTTTAGGGATGGTTTAGGGTTTAGGATTTAGGGTTTCGAAATCTCTGTTTAGGAGTTCGGGTTTAGGATGAACCCTACCAGCATGTCAGTCTCCACTATCTTCTCGATTTTCGCGTTTCCTCCTGCCCACCCCGAGGCCTCGAGTCCGATAACCCTAGACGGCTTACATCGATGTTTCAGCAGGCCCCGGTCCAGGGTGACCAAGCCATCCACCCAGAAGCCTCCGACACTATCACTCGCAGAAGTCCCAGAGATCGACAGATGCGAACCCTCCAGGAGTGTCCTCAGAAGTTGCAAGATGAAAAGGAACGCAGCAGAAACAGGCAGCTACATGGTCCATTGCAAATCACGTAAAAGATTCGGAAAGAAATTGCAGCAGTTGGCATGGCCCTACCATCTCCTCAGATTTGCGGTCCAGGCACAGGTTGCCTGCATAGAAGCCGCCCCCGTCCTGCGCCCTCGTCCCCTCCACCTGCAGCAGAGGATTCCGACATCCAAGCTGAATTCCGTTGCACGAGTGCAAAGCTAACGCGTGGCTCCCCCACGCTTGCCCTGAGATTTGCGCGCAAAACCCTTCCAAAACCAACGCGACATCCGCCTGAGGCCCTCAATTTTTGCGGCAAGCGGCCATCAAGCTCGATCTCCTCAGCGTCACGGTGCCGTTGGCCGCGAAGGCGCCCCCACGCTCCACCTCACCGGTCTGATCGTGGGACATCAGGACCTCTGCATCCTCCAACGTCAACGACCTTGTGTGCGTATGTCTGCGTGCAAACTGCAACACGCAGCCCACCTCTCTGCACGTGGGCGGGAAGTATCTGAAGAGCATCGTTTACGCCAAGGAGCCCATCGAGATCTAAGCGGAGGGACAGGAGCTCCAGCTGGCCCGAGAGCAGAAGGTCGCCTCCGACCAGCGTTCCCTCGCCCAGCAAGGCTGCGCCACTGTGATTTTGGCCCTTCGGGCCCCTCAGCTCGCAGCTGCTGGGAAGCACCGTCTCCGACCTGACAGGAACCGCGCCCGCGAGAAAAGGAGCGCGGATACAAACTGCTGCACGCTGGGTCCCAGCGGCTCCACGTGGAAGCAGCGCGGCGGCAGGGCCCCGCCAGTGCACCATGCAGCCAGCTGCTGGGACCCCAGGCTCTCGCAGGCCTCCAGTCAGAAGCAAGTCCCTCTATCCAAGCCTGATAGGCGTTTAAAAAAAAGTGTGTATATATAGATATATATATATGTATAGGGATACATAGGGTATGACTATGAAAAATTGAAGCTACTATTCAAGGAGTAGCGTTTAAGGTTCAGGCATGTTCGGGCGATGAAGCTTCAATGTCCAGTGCCTGTGCCTGAAGCCTTCTCGGCCCCTTGGGAAACCCAGCAGTCTCTGCGCCTGTCAAGCTGGCGGTTATTTGTGGTATGTACGTTCCTGCCCTCGCAACGCACTGCCGGGAGCCTTCCAAAACACCTTCGCTGAGGGTAGTGAGCACCGCTGCCACTGCTGCCCAGGTGCGCATGGCCGCTCGCCTACCTAAAACATATTAAACATAGGTACCAGGTGCAGATTTGATGACCCCCACACTGAAACACACACGGCTACATGCGAATCTAAGCATCCAGCAGTTGCTACCCACATGCGCGTCAAATGTTCGAACATACCTTGCTGCCGAGCCAATGCTGGTTATCTCCTTGGCTGATGGCCCTCCAATCTGTGTAACGTCTTTGCCATATTTGAAGCTCTCTCAAGCCATGAAGCTGGAAGTCTTCCTGCCTTTTCTCATCCAAGCGCTTGCGATGTTCAACTAAAACTGTCTATCGATGACAGACGGGCGCTGCATTAGGAAAAGGATCTCGTCTTAGGATTCGTGAGATGTATCGTTGCTGTGACTGGATTCAAGATGATTGGTTTGGCAGGCGTCCCAGCAGCACGGCTAATTCGCTTGCGACTTGTGGCAAGCACTTGGCAACTAGACAAATGCAATTCTACGTGCCGCTGCATGGCAACAAGATCAGAGTAGCTCAATATGACATGGAATGTTGAATCCGCATCTTGAGTCCTCGCCTTTGCTCAGAGAACGGGCTGCCACAACAAACCAAAAACAATAAACCAAAGAACAAGAAACTCAATGAACTTGTGAGTTCCGCATGTTTTGGAGTGCCTTCTTCAATCCATCTCGGGAAGCAAGGTCTCTGTGGCATCTGCCAAGTTCTGCACATTCTGCCTAAGATGCATCCTACATCACCCAACAGAACACGCCTCAACTATTCACGCTGGCAAGAACCCCTCACGTAATGCAACGTGAGCGTTTACGGGCATAGTTCCCAGGCGCTGCAGAATTCGGCTCATCCGCTGCTTAATTTGAATGTCCATATTTGCGAGGCTTCCCATCTTGGACCGTATGAACTGGAAGATTTTCTGCCTGTCCTCCTCGACAGACGAGAGACCTTATGCGACAGAGAGGATCTGAAGGCGCACACGACTCCAGGCGTCACACATTCATGCACGAAGCAACTACTTTAACAGCAAGCGGCAGTTGACTACTTGCAGGGTGCGCAATGCCCGCCCAACTTGTAGAGCAATGTCTGGGGAAGCCCCCTGGTCACCCAGCACTCCAAGATCTGTTGCAAAGACCAAATCGTGCTGGCGTTCACTTGCAAGAAGAAACTCGAAGAGGCACCATACGCCTCGGACTCCCATGCTGGATCCCCATGGTAAACGACTAAGACATGCCGATTCAAGGACCCAGCTTCTCACCATACACACGGCAAACAGGCAGGCTGCTACACAACCAATTGAGTTGGGAGACGTGTGAGGGGCTGGACCTGCTGATCCAATACCATGACGACACCCTGCAGGTGTGAGTGGAGGACCTTGGCAAAAGCGCTGTCAAGGACGTCGGTCCCGATCTCACTCGCGATGTCCCACTGGTTGTTGGCGAAGGAGCAGATCCAGTAGGTTGGATTTACGGCGCCGGTGAAGGCTGCATGGTGCTGTAGGCACTGGACAAAATGCTGAAACGGAGTGGCCCAACTGTGGGACACAAAGTGGGATACAGCCTTCCCTTGCAGGAGGCCTACCAGGGAAGTCTGCTGTTCTTGGTGAGTGGTTCCACGATGTTGGCCACGACGAAATGCATGGTTCTGTCTAGAATGAAGCGCCTGAAATGCTCCCAGAAATGCTGCAA